CGAGATGGAGGCGGCAGGCGAGAGCTGGACGCCGCGCTGGTTCAAGCGGGTGGATGCGGATGCAGATGCGGAAGATGTCTGGGCTCTGAAGCCGGGCAAGGATGGCTACTGGGAGGAACGGGCCCGGGGAACTTGGACAGGTGTGGTGCCCGTGTTCGAGGCGTAGTTAAGTTACCATGTGTATGTTTATTCGTCTATGATCCTGTATAGACATGCATGTCGTATATAGAGGACTTTATCTATAGAGATATAATTAGAGTTGCTTACAATCTCGCCCTCTACTAAAATCACCTCTATGTAAATCATAAGGAGCAGAAACACAATGGATAAGACTATAGTCAGGCTTAAGCTTACGACTATCTAGCAGCCAATCGACCTACGCTCATAGCGGTCATACTGTGGAAAATTTGATATAGTGGAAAGCAAAAGTAGTTTCATGAAGCTGCAAAAAACATATCGTGTCCATTTCGTTTCTAGTCGTCGGTATCAGATCATTGTCGGTGTCACATCATTCGCTTGAGCGTATGTACAGCTGAAATTCCAGAGCTGCTATTCGGATATATTGCGGCAATCTCACATTTCCGGACAAATTCGTCGACCGGGATATTCACGTAAATCAGTCCTCGTCTGACTGATCATGAACAGCCCATCGGTGATTATTTCGGGGCTTTGTTGATTTTCTGGCGCTCGTACGATCGGATGGCGGTGCACGCACCATCAACGGCAGACTGTCCAGGACGGCGCGGTTGCCCTCAAAGTAGTGTACCGCGAATCCTCCCTGGAGAACTCGTCGGAGAGAGTTCAGTCGAATCCACTTCCACCAACGGTCAATGCTCATGACCCCTTCCCTTCCGATCTTCACGCGGACTTTGCTCCCGTACTGTCGATTCGAATCTTGGTCGATCGCTTTGTTGTACATGGGGCCGCGTCGGGGATTCTCCACTGTCGTCAATATGGAGGCGAAATTGCTGTGCAGGTTCTTCTTATCTCGCTTGCTGATGTGCTTGTTGTGCACGGTGGCCAAGGACTGGAGTTGCTGTTCCAACTCGTGGGTGTTATGGTACGCATTGTAGCGTTTAACGAGCTTTGGCCCGTCTCGGTCCCCGGCACCCATAAACTCCTCCTCCTCGGATTCGACTTCCTCGTCTTCGTCGTCGTCGTCCTCTTGCGGTGTGTAGCTCTTTTCGTACAGCAGGGCGATATTCTCGCCAGCGGCAATCTGCCGGGCCGGATCATTGCTATTAAGCTGATCCATGAAAATCTGGACCGCCTCTTCGCTTTCGGCCTCCAAGTCCTCGATTTCTGTCGCGAGGTAGCCCCATTCCTGCAGAGCGGCCGTGACAGCGGCCGCATCGTCAGCCGCATCGATTGAATGGCCATCGGAGGCAGCAATGTCCAGGAAGAAGGTCATCTGGTCGATAATGCTGTCTTCGCCAGCACCACCAAAGCTGGTGCATACCCCCAGGCAATGGATTGCGGCAGCTTTGATCACAGGAGAAGTCGAATCGCGGATCGTGCGGGTCAGCAGCGGCTCTACATTTTCGTAGATGGTATTGTCAAAGGCGGTGATGGTAAGAAGACTCAATGCGCGGAGCGCCAGGGTTGTCTCTCGCACGCTGCTTTCAAATTTGATACTCTTGGCAAAAGCGCTCACGAGGTCAATGACACGAGTGCGGATACGATCTTCGATGTAATGAGATTTGGCGAGACGGCAAAAAGCAGCATAGGCCTCTTCTCGGGCCAGGACGCTGCTCCGTTTGCGATCCAGGATATCTTCAACGACATCCTCAAGCTCTTCGGGCCAGTTGGCGTTTGTATCAGCATCTGGAATGTCACCCACGTCATCCAGGGAACCGAGGCTGTGAAAATGCAAACATGGTTAGTTATACTTCGACTATCATGAACCACAATTACGTCATCCCGCGCCTCGAGGACCCTCAAAAAAAAAATAAAATAAAATAAAATAAAATTACGGGGGAGGAAAAGGAGGGAAAGAAGCTCACCTATATGCAGTGTCGTCGCTAAGATTACCTTCATCCTCTTCATCGGATGGATGCCTGCTCGCGTTACGAGACGACTGTTTCGAACTTTGAGCAGAGGCTGCGCGAGAGGGGCGGCGAGAGCCTTCGCGAGAAGCGGCCTTGCGGGACATGGTCTTGCCGCTCTCAAAGATCTGACGGCGTAGGTCAGGCATGGTAAGAGATTCGTAGAAGACGAGATAGAAGAGAGATAAGTATAGATAGATGATGAGATCGATAATCAAGTATTGTTACGGATAAGGTTCACAATGTTCAGTGGAGACGTGGATATCTCAATACTAGGGTATGGAGAGTGTCGGCAGAAAGAATGTTTTCACAAAGACGATGGACATGATAAGACTGAAAAAGAACCCTAGGGCAGAATAAGGGCTGAGAAGCGTCTGTTTGAAGGCTCAGTTGATGCCTACGATGGAAAAGGATGAAAGACAAAAGAAGACGTCAACGGCAAACCCTCTCTTTTTATGAAGAGGGCGGGAAGAACAATAATACGTAACAGCCAGCCCATGCTTGAGCCCTGTCAGCCAGGTTCGTTCCCCGGATAGTCTCATTACCCCTCGATATTCTTTCACATGAACGGAACTACTTGAGATTCCACCAATAATGAAACCTGATTCTTCTTTTATCTCCTCAACCTCAACCACTACTGCAGAGTTTCTGTACTCTGCAAGTCTCTTTCTTTTCTTTTTTCTTTTTCCGTTTTCTTTTGCCAATTGCTGAGGGCCTTATCGCCACGTGATGCGGGGTCGCTTATCAAATGACGGAGCTTGACTAAAAGACGTTCTTTAAATGGTTACAGCTCTACCGTATAAAGAGTAGTAAATAGGCATCGAGTGGTGATCATTTCAGGCCAGGTTGGTATGCAAGTATCCTGCAGCTTGTCGCTGTCTATGGGTATTCAGTAGTCGATTGTGTTCCTTGATTACTAAGACTATAATGTGACCTCTCCCACACTAGGTTGCGAGTAGGGAATCGTAATATGCCGATATATTCATGAAAGGGTATCTATCATGTATGCCTCCTGGGCTCCTGGAAAGCACTATTATTCTCGTCATCGTGCTTGCATGGCCAAAGCTAGGATCCCTGAAGCTTTGACACCCTCGAGATACTCCCTTCCTTCTCTTCTCCGCTCGTCCTCATCCTCATCATCACCAACTTCAAGATCGACCTGTAAGCTAGCATCGTATGCTCTCATGACAGTTTCCTCATCCACACGTACTCCGCCTTGAACCAGCACGCGAATACATTGCGCCAGGCGTGCAATCTCGCGCCGTGTCTGCGGTGGAATCTCATCGTTCTGGCTGGAATAGATAGAGCTCGATACCATCTCCTCCAGGCGGGTAATGGATACATTCTCCGTCGTAGAGGAAGCTGCGGCCGCGCCGTCGGCGTGCTTCGCGATCCAGATGTAACCATTCACCCCGAGTATAATGTTCACCTCGCCGCCTCCGTTCGCCGTGTTGACCGTCCACTGTTGTCTCCGGGCGCGAACCACACCACCCGTGCCTGAGGTGCCCATCGCCCCTGCAGAGGCAGTTCCCGCTCCAGGGCCTCCCTTCACTGTCGAACTCGATGCTCCGCTACCACCGGTTCCCGTAACAGCGAGGAACACGCCATTTCTAAGCTTGCCGTATTTCAGCGATCGCGTGTGCAATGAGGCTGAGCCGTCAGAATGCACGCTCTGAACTTCTGCAACCACCAAATCCCCTTCGCTGAAGAAGGTTCGAATCTGCAGTTCATCCGCGCTTGTCCGTCGACGGAGGATACCGCCAGGCAGGTTGATGGCGGAGAGGGGTAGTTGTGCTAGGAGAGGAGCGGCGATATCGACCTTCCATCGTCGTGACTGAACCTCCACAATGCGTCCAACAACCAGATCACCGATTTCTGGGATATACCGAGCCCGCAGCGGCTGAACGGAGAGCAGTTTGTTGGTTTTCTGTACAGTACCAGCAACAGTGGCAATGATAGAAGTCGAGAGCGGATTTGAGTAGGTACCGTGACCTCTGCGAATTGTTCAGTAACAATCCTGAACCTCCTGTGAAAGCAATCTGAAATGCGCAGAATATCGGAGCCCAAACGAGGGTAAGACCAACCTCATCCATTGTGGATCATCCGTCACCACTTCACCTGGTGTCACAATTCCTGCGCCAATCTTTGTCCCTTCCACTAAGCGGGACCGTTTGCTTGGTCGAGAGCCTCCTCTTGAAGTCAAATCAACTCCTCCGTCTGAGTCTATCGACATTGAATCGAAGTCTGAATCTGGATGGGGAGAATTGACATCCTCCACAACGGGAGGCAGAATAGTGATGGCCATTTCGAAGCGAAATTATTACCAAAGGTAATCTTGGCCGATAAATATAGAAAGGATTATCGAGCTGAAGTTGACCTGGAAAGTTGTGTTCGACTTTCAAGAGCAGAAGATTCCGCAATCGAATTGTCCAAGAGCAAACAGGACAAACTTGATGCAAAGAGCACGTGAAAATAGAATCTATGTACGCAGTACAGAGTATGAAGTAATTGAGAAATCCATATCAATTTGGCATACTTTGATATAACGTGAAGAGGAAAATAGAGATCTGTTCAGTTGCCCTAGTGGATTTTTTATTGTAGTTATTCATGAATCTAATTAGGCCTTTCCATTTATGGTTCATATCATGCCCTCGCCAGTCAACATTATGAGGAAAAAAATGAAAGAGAATGATAAGACAGCAATGAAAAGAAGTAAAGGAGTACTGAATGATAATGCACGTTTCTCAAGCTTGTCAAAATACGACACACTTAGCGAGAGATAGCCATGCCGGTCAAACCGGGATCAACATAAGAAATAAAGGGCAGTACTGGCAGTCCTCAGTAGGCAGCTTCTCCTACGGTGTCACCCCGGATAGGTCGGGACGTCGGAAGGAGAAACGAGAAATATAATAGTACATAGAGGGAGATCAATGCTTAGAGCAGACAAAGAGGTCTTCAGGCACCCACACCTGAGGACCTTTTCGACGTGCGCTTGGCATTTGAGTTCGTGTCGTCCTTCTTTTTCTTGCTGGGACGGCTGCTGCCACCTTTGGGTCTATAGCCCGTATCGTCATCGCGCTTGCGCTTGCCTTTGGTGCTACCAGGAGTGGGACCGGTATCCATTAGGACGCCGTCCTCGTCGTAAACCTCCTCCTCTTTGCGTGGCTGGGTTACTCTTTTGGACGCCCGCGCATTAGTTGGTCGAGAGCCTGACTTCTCGGAGGCGTTCTCATGGTCCTGCAGGAAAATATGCGGTTGATTGCGCCGGAGCCAGTTGTAGACGGAGACCGGGTTTCGCAACGCCAATTCCCTTTCCCGTTCAGCGAAAGATGGCTTTTCGGGAATGCGACTAAGCTCGAGGGCAGCTGCTTCGTCACCGAGCTTTGCATCCATGCTCAAGTAATACTCGGTCTCGTGCTGCGGAGTAAGATATCCAAGCTTCTCCTCCAGGCTGATATCTGTAGAAGAATCCTGTCTTAGGGGCGGCACCGCCGTATGAGGCACCTTTTGGAGGGCAGTGTAATGCATGCGCGGTGCAAATGCGTTGCCTCGTTTGATATCGTCTTCCAGAGTGCGATATGCTTCGAGTGTCATGCTGCCAGCAGCCATCTGTGCTTTCGCATCTTTCAAGATGGATTTTGCCGTCGCGGTGTCGACGTACATCGGCGATCGTTCAGGCGTCGGCAGGAAGGATGAGTCTCCCGGCGCACTGAGATCAAATCGCTGATCCGCTGGGACGTGCAAACTTTCATTGAATTCAAGGAGAACCTCTAGAAGTTGGCTGTGGCAGGAGAGTCAGTCTCCAACGATCCTGTGTCTTTCTATACATCCGCAGATATTCGCTTACTCGTTCTGCTCCTGAATTCTCTTTGAGAGATCTTCGATGCGCAACTCTTCGCGGATCAGAGACTCGCTCTCCTTCATCCCAAGCTCGAATTTGACTTTGAGTTTGGCATACTTCTTTCTGTAGGACCAGGGGGTAGCCACATTAGTTCTCATATCTCATGCTAAAGCTGCGCACTGAACGACCTACTTGAAAGAACGATATGACTGTTTCGCAGGGGCACTGGTCGATTCGTCGGGCAGGCTCTCGGCCACGGAGCGGGAATCCTCGTTTTCCTGTGACATGTCGATTCAAGATGGATGCGGAGACGCGTATTCAAGGGAGTGACACGGATAAGAGATTGATGATTGGTGATGAAATGGTGAGTGTCAAAGAGAGCTCTGAAGGCGAGCGATGGTGTTAATGGCTGGTCACCTGTCGCCAAGTCCGACGTCCGCAGTGGAAAGATTGTTGCGTCAGCGGGTGTTTTTGCCCGCCGTAAAAAGTTTCAATCCTCTCCATTCATACCGAAGACAATAGCTGAATGCGCTTGATTGACTTGGCCAGTCAAAACAAGCTTCTATTGTGAATTGCTATTTTACGACCTCATTATTCTATTAATTGAAGCGGGCCACTTTTTTACGACGATTTTCGAGTCATTGACGAACCTGATTTCTATCCAACATGGCTGGCCTCGGTGAAGGTAGTCAAAAAAAGCGAAAGCTCACAGACGTTCCTGAAATTGAAATCGATGTGTCCGCGCCTGAGCCTCCGTCGAAAAAGGCTCTGCGCAAAGCCAAAAAGAAGGTTGCCGAGCCTACGGCTGATCCTACAACGAAGCAAGAGGCCGCTGTGCCCAGCACAAAGCAAGAAGATGAGGCCCCCAAAAAACGTTCAGACCACGGCATCTGGATTGGAAACCTGGCCTTTTCGGTGACCAAAGATGATCTGCGCAAGTTTCTCACAAGCAATTGCACATTTGCGGATACCACAATCACCCGTATACATCTGCCCAAGGGCCAAGAAAAATTTGGAAAGGCTCAGAACAAGGGTTTCGCTTACATCGATCTTGCCAACGAGAAGGCTGTGAAGGAGGCAGTAGGATTGAGCGAGCAGCTGCTAGCTGGGCGCCGTGTGTTGATCAAGGATGCGAAGAGTTTTGACGGCAGACCAAAAAAGTCAGAAGACGATTCCGCGGCAACAGCTACGAAACCTCCTTCGAAACGGATATTCGTTGGCAATCTCGGCTTCGATGCTACAAAAGAGGTCGTCGAGGAACATTTTGGACAATGCGGTACCGTCGCACATGTACATGTGGCAACATTTCAGGATAGTGGAAAATGCAAGGGCTATGCTTGGGTGGAGTTCGAGGATCTTGCTGCCGCCGAAGCAGCGGTGAAGGGCTTTGTTATGGTTGATGAAGACGAGGAAGACGATGAGGGCTCCGGAGAAGAAGAGTCTGGAAAGCGCAGGAAGTCGAAGAAACACAGACAGAGGAGGGTTTGGGTGAACCAGCTTCTTGGTCGACGAATGCGCATGGAGTTCGCGGAGGATGCGACAACACGGTACAAGAAGCGGTTTGGTAAAGATGGGGAAGGCAAGAAGAAAGACGAATCGGTCATTACTGAAGTGGAAGATGGGCCTCTTGAGCTGGAGTCCACTGGAGACAGGCCGCAACGGTCACATCCTGAGAAGCCCAAGAGAAACAACAAGCCTGAATACTCAAGATACGCCAAAGAAACCGTGCAGAAGCTTAGCGGCGCTATTGTCGAACCCCAAGGAAAGAAAATCACTTTTGATTGAGGCTTTCCAATATAGAAACGGAGCAGAATGGCTCCTTCCCATCATTCATATGCTATACTGAAGCTTTTCAGTCAAGTGATTGACGTTCAACCACTTTTTCTTTGCGAGTCATTTAAGAACTGTCATTATTGCAGTAAATATTGATTGGGATGATTGTGAGCAGAATAATGTACTGCCCTATACTCGACAGCTGTACTGCTGTTAGCATGAGCGTATGTACTTTGCACCTAACATGAAACTGGAAGATAGGAATAAACAAGCTATGACCACTTTTGAGCTAGAATCCCATCCATTAGCTTTACATTATTAGTTAACTCCTCCTCATGCAAACATTCAACCCTGATGTTGTAAATAGAATTTCTTCGCCAACTATGGACAATAATGCTGACATATTTGATCGCTATATTTAATGTGATTAGCTATTCTTATGCCTAAGCCTAACCAGTCTAACCGTCGAAGGCTATCTATGTGTCGGATTTATTTATGCTAGTAATAATTCTAGATTCGCTGAGGTGGTTTTGGGGGCACTAACCAGATTTGGATAACTGACATCGAAGAGAGATGTCATGGCTCATGCTAAAAGCGATCAACTTTGATAGTGTTTGTCTCGTTGCATTTCCCTCGACTGCCCAACCGTCCCACACTCCTCGCCCTCGTTATCGAGGTGCATCTTCTTCTCATCCGCCCATCGACCTTTCTACGTTCACTTCCCTCTCTCCGTACACGTGTTCGAGTTTTTGCCGCTTCTGTTGATCATTCCCGCCCCCCGGTCCTTGCAATCCGATTGTCTCGCCGCTCTTCGTTCCTGGTCGGTGCATCCTTCATCCTTACCTCAATCCTCCTCCCAAAATTTACGGTGACACGAAGAAACATCGCATCCGGTGTTCAATCATATCCCTTCTTTCCATCGCCTACGCCAACCAAAAATGGCCTCACGTCGTCGCAACATCGGTGCTAGTCGGCGGAGGAGAAGAAGAGATGAGGAAGGCGAGGATGAAGGTTCCCTAGAGGGGGAGTTGGAAGATGATTCGTTAAGCGAGGGCTCGGTCATCAGTCATCCCGGTGATGATGATGATGATGATGCTGATGGCGAGGGAAGCGACGAGAGCGACGGGGAGGCTTCTTCGTCCCCGCACTTGGACAGAACCAACGGACCTCAGGTCAACGGTCTCGTGCCTGAAATCAACCAGCGGTCTGGACGACGCCATTCCTCATCTCCTGGAAAGCGACACACAGCTACCGCTGTGTCAGATACGGAGGCAATGATGAATGGATTGACCCTGTCTGATCAGACGAATGAAGTGGCGGAAATCCACTTTGATGATATGAAGGGAGAGTCTGGTTCACTGACAGGAAGGACACCATCTGCACCTCCTACAGAAGCGAAGAGAGGGACTTTTGCGGAGCGAAAACGCCGCGAACACGAAAGGTATGCAAAGGAGCGGGATGAGAATCCGGCCTTCGTGCCCACTCGAGGCCGCTTTTTCCTTCACGATAAGCGTTCCACCGAGTCTGGCCCGAATGGCCACAGGCCGTTCAACAAATCAAAATCGAGACCTTATGGCCTCATCGTGGATGGGAATGTTCGCAGGTAAGCGTTCCCCGACCCTTTTGTCATGTGCTCCCGATAACTAACCATCGTTCCACCCGCAAGGCACTCCAAACCTGATGCTAGTGAAGGGCAGTGGACGCATGATCTGCACCAGATGGTCGCAGGAGATGAACCCGTCAACAAGCCCTCTGCTGTACCAGAATCCACGTCGAACTTTGCCCCAAAACCCGTCCCTACGGCTCCTCGTTCTACGCCCCCGAACAGGTCTTTCTCGAGCACCACCCTGATCGGCAATGTGCCTGTTGTAGTGTTTCTGCAGGGCATGGCTCGGCCCATACCTTTCCCTGCCGTTCCAAAAAAGCAACACACTCGTCTCCCTCAACATCGTCCCCCGTTACGTCGAGACAAGCCCGTTCGCATATCGTTCCCTGGACAGTCTCCGAGATACATATTCCCCTCGACAGAGCGCTCGTTCATCTTTATTCCACGAGCGCTGAGGCCAAATCAGCAGGGTTACCGTGGCAGGGGCCGGGGTGGATTCTATGGCGGACGCCGTCCGAGTATTTATGCAGGCTCCGTCTACACCCCAAGCGTCACCGCTAGCCGGAGATCGTCGATGGGAAAGCCAGCCTCTCATGATGGATACCCCTCGCCGGCTGCGTCTGTATTGTCAAGACATACGGTGGTTACGACCGAAAATGGGAAGCCAATCGTCCGTCTGCCTCCACCTTCCAGGCCATTAGGCGGCGTGCCACCGGCAGCCGCTGCTGCTGGTCCCGGAGCCGTTGTTACCGCGTCACTGCCACAACCTATGCCTCAACCTCAGCCCCAGCCCTCGTACCGCGAGAGCCGTCCGGCTCCCATCCCAATGCATCAGCCCCGTCCTCAGAAAGCGGTTTCTGTCGCCGATATAGAGACTCCTGCAAGATTCTCCTTCAATGGCCCCCAGCCACAGCAGGAACAACCATTCCAACACCAGGTTCCTATGCCTATCAATGGCCCTGGCTATGGTACTGATGCTCAATCTGCCCATGCAGCTGGGACGCCTTCATCGCACATACCCGAGCGAGCAATCCATGCTCAACCTTTCCAGCCATATGGCTTCCAACAAGCCCAGCCATTTTATCCTGCCGCTTATCCCCCCGGTACAGTATACTATCCAGTGTCTGGAACAGAATTTCCGCCCTACAACGCAGCCGGCATGCCGGCAGCATCCCTCGTGCCCTATCCCCCAGCGGGACAGCAAGCTCCATATGTGGTTCCAGGAGCCCACGCCTCATCCGCAGAGCAGCCTTCGCAACCAGGCACAGTGGCCCACGAGGCAGGTGGCACAGTCTATTTCTATGACGCCACGCAGATGTGGCCTAATGCATCCTATGCCACGCCCTCTGCACCGGGGCCTGGTGGCGTTATCGGCATGGGTGGAATGATGACTCCTCCAGGCACAACCTTCTATTATCCTCAGCCGCAGGGTGGTGTATACTACGCTCCGCAATAATAATAAAAAAAAAAGAAGGCAAAAGAGGCATTTTCTATGTTTTTCTTTCGTTCACATTTCGATACCTTAAAATATTCTTGCCTTGTCGTCTTCCTTATCCTCTCTTGTTTTTGTTTTACATTTCCCCTTCCACACATTTCTCGTCCTGCGCCTTAGTCTCACTGTGATGCCACGCAATCGATTATTCCCAAAACTTATGATGTCGACTATAGGAGTCTCGTCCATTGTCAACCGTTTTTCCATCTCCTCGTTTCGCTTTACTGTCCCGTCTTCATGCTTCCTGTCTGATGGAACTGTCCATGATGCCGTTTCCTTGAGCTTTCATATGGATTGTTATTAGATAAGCCACCCTTTGCATCCTTAGCGACTGTCTTCTCATCATTGCGGTGCCAACTTTTGTTGGCCGGAAGCTCTCATGTTCTGTACGCATTTTTTTCCTGCTACTATCTGGA